AAGAACAAATCCCCCCCAAAAAAAACCAAATGTGAAGGAACAACAGAAGGCATAAATAAAGTTGTTTTAACTTATGCCCATCAGATTATTCAAACAAACAATTGCAGTTATCTCAACATATAATATAAAACGTACAAGTTCATGAATCCCAATTGGCCTTGAAATCAGTGCAGTGAAACTATCCTATCTTGTAGGTTTCAAGTCAAATCCTCCAAGAAACAGATGTCAATATGAAAACTGCTGCACACACATGTGCAAATGCCAGTCTCTGTAAGGGACAAGGGAGGCAGGAGGGTCTGGGAGAGCTATCCAGTTAAACACAGAACTGAGTTCTGCCCTGAATGAAGAGGGGAGGGAAGGACCTTTGGGTGGAAGGGTCTTTTGTTAGACAGTAACGGAGTAACAAATTGGGAAATTCTTTCAGACTGTGTCTGGGTCAGAGCTGCCTGCAAGGGGACCTCCACTCTAGTGGCAGCAGGTCAGCATTAGTATTTCTGTCCTGCTTAGTCCCTGGTGGGCACAGTGTGTGGAAACCAGGGTTCCCAGCAAAAGTCCAGGAATTATTTTAAAATACAGTACAGGTCAATTGTGTTTCCTGAAGTATGCATAGTGCATTCTTGTAACATCCAAGGTGATTATGCTCATTTTCAATGCATCTACTTATTTTTATCACGAGACCTTAAATAGAGGACAGCATCTGAGTGTGGTCTCAGGCTCCTGTTGTCAGATTTTCAGATGTTTTCAAACTGTTCTTGACAATGCATTTATTCAACTGAACATGATTATTTCTTTTCACAAGTATCTCAGGGGTATTATTAGCGTGGGCCTACATAGACTTTGGGAGTCCACACTCTTGGAACTGTAGCTACAGAGCCCTGTCCTCACTTGCATCTGTCCTAAACCCTGGTACCACTAGGCATATCTGTCAGAACTAAAGATTTATTTTGATTCATGAATTCAGTTCATGGTGCATGTAGTTGATTTAAGCCTGTGTCATGTACATAACCAAGGTGGATGCATGTGGCAGAGGAAAGCTGTTCACCATCAGGTAGCCATGAAGCAGAAAGAGAGGAAGGGGCTGGAGCCAAAATATACCCTTCAAGTATATGCCTCCCATTTCTGCATCCTCCAACCAGGTCTTGCCTAAATTGAATACTATTAGGTTATCCTATCAATCATCCTATCAATGAATGAATGAATCCATTGATGAGTTAGAACCCTGTGACCCGATCATCTCCCAACTTTCCCACTCTGAAACAACTGTATTTGAGATAAGCTCTCAACACATGTGGGGCATTTCAATTCCCAAACATACCATCTCCTTGCTAAAAAGTTCAGGACCCAGTGCCTTATCTGTGAATTTCACATAATATTTACAAAAGAACCTATTCTAAATTCTTAAACTATTCCAGCAATTTGAAATGGAAGAAACTGTCAGTCTTTGTATACTCCAATACCAAAACTAGACAGCACACAAGAATGACGACAGCTAAAGATGCTGATGAACAAAGATTCAAAAGCTCTCAAGAGAATATCAGAAAATGGCATATAATGCCAACCCAAAATAAGGGGAGCATTATTAGATTGGGACTGGGTAGTCTGACAATGGCTCTCTGCATGCTGAGGAGGCCAAGAAACGAGGGCTGCTCAGACAAAGAAGCTGAATGACTCATCAACTCCAATCCAGTGCTAAAATCCAGAAGTCCCCTAGAGGCTGGGTGGGATGGGAGGCCACACAAGAGGCCAAAGAACCTGGTATCTGATGTCAGTGGAAGGTCACAACAACTTGCAGGACGGATGCACTTGCTCAGGAAGACAAAGCAAAGGTGAGAGTATGCATGTAGCCTTCTCTGGGCTCCTGTATCTGGCCACAAGTTGGACAGTTCCTATAGGCATTTAAGTCAGGTCTTCTCAGTGAATCTTCTCTGGAAACACATTCCCAGGCATACCCACAGTGTATCTCTTAAGTAATTCTAAATTCAATCCAGGTGACAATAAAGACTGATCAGACAGTGTCCTCTAAGAACATTCCACGAGATAAGCTGTTAGGATTTCTAAATATATTCAGTAAGATTACAGGATGCAAAATCAAGATAAAGAATCAGAGATGCATCAATCTATGGGTCTAACAACAAGTCATTAAGAGTCAGTTTAGGTCTATGTCTATTTAGTAGACTAATAGTAGTGGGCTCTTCCCTATGACTGTGTGTGACCTGCCAAGCCATAGGTGCCTAGGCCTGATGTCAGGAGAGGGAGAGTCAGTTTTCTTTAGGGTGTTTTGCTGGATAGATTAGCCAAGCTCCAGTGAACAGATGCAGTCTGAAGGGCATTTGGAGACACACATTTGACTCAATGGGCCTTAATATATTGGGTATTAAGGGAAGGGTGATGATAGGGGAGGGGCTCTAAATATGATCAAAATACATGGGATGAAATTTTCATAAAGTCAATTAAAACTGAAAAAAAAAAGATAAAGAATCAGTAACATGTTGGGATGGTTTGAATGGGAATTTCCCCCATAGGCTCCAAATATTTGGACATTATGTCCCCACTTGGTGGCACTGTTTTAGGAGGTCTTAGAAGGTGTGGCCATGCTGGAGGAAGCATGTCACTGGGGGAAGGCTCAGAGAGTTAAGCCTTGCTAGATCTCCAGTCACTCTCTGTTTCCTGTGCCTGCTTGAAGATGTGAGCACTTAGATTCTGCTCTTACTCCAGCCACATCTGCTCCCATGCCTCTCCACCATGATGGACTCTTTTCCCTTTGGAAGTGTAAGCTAAATAAACTCTCCCTTGTATAATTTCCCTTGGTCATGGTGTTTCTAACACAGCAAGAGAAAAGTGACTAATACAGTAATTGATACCAGGAGTGGGATGTTGGCTGTGAAGAACCTGACCATGTGGGTTTTTGAAGGAATGTGGAAAATTTGGGGAAGTTTGGGCTAGAAAAGCGGTGGTGGATTGCTGTAAGCAGAGTTTAACAGGCCATTCTAGTAGGCACCTGGAAGGAAGTAGTGTTGAGAACAATGTAGTTCCAGAAGGAAATAAGGACTTAAGCAGCAATTGGGATATTTTGGCAGTCTGGCTGGAGTCTGCCCACAGCCAAAAAGCTTGCCTGAGGCCAAGTAGAAAAGCAATGGACTACTTTCATTGGTGGAGGATGTTTCAAGGAAACCTAACATAGAAACAGTGGGGTGGCTATCAATGGTGAATATTATGTAGATCTACAGATTTAAAAAAAAGAGCAAAGGGGCAGAAAGAAATGCAGAATGTGCAGTTTGAATTGAATAAAGAGCCCTAGGAAGATTAATATTGGAGCCAAGGCATATACTGAAGGAGAGGATCCTTTTGATAAGAGGATTAAAGTGATTAAGGAGAAGCCTAGAAATTTGCACTTAAAGAACAGAAAGACTGCCTACAGAGCAAGGCCACATACAGCTAAGACTCCAGTTTGTGAAAGGAAAATGCTGGGTTTTCTACTCCTAGAAAACTACAGCTGAAAAAAACTTCACAAGTGGATGGAATAGGCGAGGGTCCACCCCAAACTTGCAGACAAACTTGGCAGTGTCATTCACATAGTACTGGATTTAAAGGCATGAAAAAATACAAGAGTTCAGTAGTCATTGGTTCTTCCTCCACAGTATCAGATAGCCTCCGAGCCCAGACAGCTTGCAGCAGGGGGAATCCTGCATAAAGAAGACCCAGATAAGCCATTACATGAAGCTGTGAAAGTGAAACTTGGCTAGCAGTGGAGACCTCAATAAGACATTCATGATGCCAGAATGGTGAGATAGCTGCCAAGGAGAGCTGCATACAGGGAGTGGTATTAGCCCAAGAGAGAGTTGTATGTTTCACACAGCAAAGCTGGAGAGGCTGAGCCATCTAAGACCTTTGGAAGTAAAGTCCCAGAAGTCAGACATGGAGCTACTGGATTTTATGTTTGCCTAGCTGGTTTTTTGTTGGGACATGCTGTCCTGGCCTCCATCTGCACCTCCCCCGCAGTGACCTTTTGGGCCTCGTGGTTCCTCAGTCTCAGAATTGTTTACCAGCTCATTTTCCGGTATCAGGTCCTGAGAACACCATGACCTGGCACTGACCCTGCGGTCATGTGACGGCTCCCCGCACCCCCCGTTGGGTCAGCTGCCTTCTGGGCTAGGGTATAAAAGTAACCTGGGGCTGAGAAATAAAGGCTTCTTCTACTACACTAAAAGCGTGATTGTCTCTTCAATCCTGACATCCTCTGCTCAGAGATCAGCTTCGTGCCATGCAGGCATGGCAATTGGAGGTTCCACTGAGATCTGAGAAAGAGAGGTAAGTGGACAGAGTCATCCCAGGCCAGCAGGGGCGTATTGGGGTTACCATGGGTAATACTAGCAGTAAACAGGAATTGCAATATCAGGTTAAGAAACTGCTAGAAGAACAAGGAACAGCAGTAAAAACAAAGACAGTAGACACATTCATTAAAACAATAGCAGAGGCCAGTCCCTGGTTCCTAACTGGAGGGGGACTAAATATCCCTGACTGGGAACAAGTAAGACGGGATTGTCAAAAGAAGTTGCAAAAGGAAGGCAGTGATACCTTCCCAATAGCTACATTTTCTTTGTGGCGCCTGGTTAGAGACGCTTTATTAACAGACAAAGTGAAAGTAAGACAAGAACTT